TCAAAGTTTGACTTTTTGTGTATCAGTTGACTTTTCATAAGTTGATCAAATTTCAAATATCAATCCATTGATCCTGAGAAATGATTTGAGACATGAATTAGGTCAAGATATTGTGTTTTATCCCTTGAGATCATGCTTCAAGCCATTAAGTCATGTACTAGGTCAAAAGTTATTGATCAGTCATTCTCAGTCAAAACCCTAATTTTAATAATTTTGCCCCTTAGATGATTTGAATGTTTTTCTTGAGAAATTATTATCAACACTTGATCAATTGATGAATATAATTTCAAAATGTTGATGTTGGCCAAAAACCATGAATTTTGACTGTATGTTGACCATAATTAACTTTTTACCCAATATAGTTGATTTTCAGTCATCTGAATAATTGATTGAGCAAATTTGTGGTGCAAGACTTGAAACTTGGTATGAGAATTCTTGAAGACCTATAATGAACCATGAAAGTCACTTGAGGTATTAAAGTTCAACTTTCCTTGTGAAAACCAAAACCCTCATTTGTGGTCTCAATGCTTAGGAGGTGAGCTTGTCTGATCAACTCTTGAGCATCCTTGAGCATTTGAAATATTTTATGGGAAATGTCTTGAAGAAAAGGGAGGACAAATTTTGGGGTACAACACACCTGCACCATTTGCACCTTCATTTTGATCTTTTATTACAGCTTCATTAGCAGCATTTGCACCTTGTTAACTGAAAATTTCGACTACATGAGGTTTAGTTAAATTAATACATTTTTGATGATGTAATTCGAAGGAAAGAATAAAAGAGTCCATGAGAATACTTTGATAAGTGAAGAGCTAAAACTGAAGCTTTAATTTTGATAAGTATTGGCGAAAGGTCCGTATACGGACCATATAGTTATCAAGTTTATTCGAAGTATCAATGAGCATGCTTCGACTGTCACGTTTTGGCGCTTCGAAGATAAGGAGTTTCAAATTCAAAAAGATCAATCCTATCCAAAGAGACGCGTGGATGCTTGGAGTTCGAAGATACATGCAATTTTCGAACGTGGCGTCATATTATTTAGAGACCGTTTGATCGAAATTAGTATAAACAAGTGTCTTAGTGTTAAGATTCAGTGTGTTCACATCTTTTGTACAAATACTCACATCACTCAAAGTACTAGCGTTAAGAGAAAAGAGTTTGTGAGAATGTACGCATGATGCACCATTTTTACATTTATAATCATTCGATTTATTTGAAGTTTTATACATTCCATTTAAATTCCAGTCGAAAGCCTTTTACATTTCAATCTCATCTTTAAAATATTACGTTACTGTCTACAAAATAATAATTCAAATAACATTTATCTAAAATAATGAAGATGTTGTTGAAAATACTCTTTGTTATAAGAAAAAACATTAAATAAGAACACATGTACTTAGGATCAATTTGATCGATCCTGCAAGTTACCATTTCTACAAAGATTTGGAAGATCAATGGTTGTTTATCAAATTTCACGGTAAACACACTTGCAACATTTGCACCTTCATTTTGATCTGTTATTACAGCTTCATCAGCAACATTTGCATCTGCAACATTTGCACCTTTATTTTGATATGTTTTACAGCTACGTCAGCAGTATCCCTCCTCATATTTTTATGCAAAAAAGCAATACACAACAATTACAAAAAGAAACATTGCACAAGAAGCAGTAGTAACAATATCAGGATAACATGCATACCTTTCTCTTCAATGCATTTGGATCTTTCTTTTTACTCTTGCAAGACTTAACATTATGTCCAATCTTATCACACTTAGTGCACCTATAAATGACACCAGGTAACCTTCTTCTCGCACCTTTCTCACCAGTCTCCCTTATTCTTAATTTCCTTGGTCTACCAGGACTTTTTTTTTTAGTTAGGAGGAAGAAGCTCCTCATTTTCTACATCAGGCCACATATCCTGTCCATTAATATGACTAACAACAAATCCATAAAAAAGGGCATTACTTATCCCAAGTGTAACATTCATCAACAAATAATTCTGGATTCCACTGTCTAAACCCTAAGGCTGCAACTGTATGCCTGCATGGAATACCAACTAACTCCCAGAAATTACAAGTACATGATCTTTTGCCAATATCAACTATGAATTCTAGTCCATTACAAGAATGAGTCACCTGAAACTTTTCTTCCATGGCCCAAGTTGGCATCCAATGTCCACTCATAGCTACCTCTTTGTCTAACCTTTTTATAGGGATTGACATAACCTTGTGTGGCCATTTCTCAAGTTTCAAAGTAGAATTGCTACACATATTCATCAAATATTTCCTAATTCAGTCACACATGTTTAATATAGGTTTATCTCTAGAAATTAAAATGGCTGCATTAAATGACTCTGCAATGTTGTTCATCAGTACATCACATTTTAGATAATAACTAAATGCATGCTTACACCAACATTTTGGATGCACTCCCATTAACCAAGCCCAGGCCTTTGGATCAACTTGCTTTAATTCATCCATCTATTGCATCCATGCTTGGTGGTAAGTTTCCATGGTTGCTCCCATCATTAGATCTCTTATGAGTGGTCCACCACCAAACTTCTTCTTGAAGTTTGCATACAAATGTCTCAAACATAACCTATGTTCAATCCGGTCAAACATCTCTTCAAAAATTGCCACCAAACCTTGTGTAAACATTTAGAGCAATTACTTAACATTATTAACATTTAGAACAACTACTGAACATTACGAAGATCAACATTAACAACTACTAAACATTTTAAAGGAATTACCTTTTGCTGATATGAAATAAAGACATATCTTTTGTCTTTTCCAATATCTTCCATTAACAGCTGGATGAACCACCTCCAGCTATCCTTTGTTTGTCTCTAAAACACCAAAGGCTAATGAGAAGTATTGGTCATTAGGGTCCCTACCAACGACTATTAAAAGTTGGCCTCCATATTTAGTCTTCAAATGACACCCATCAACCCTAATAAATGGTATGCAACCATTTATAAACCCTTTTTACATCCATTAAATAGATATAAAAAGATCCAAACCTTGGTTGGATTAAAGGGATTGGTCTACCAATGTTAAGCTTCAGAGTATTTCCAGCATTTACCCTCTTCAACTCAGTAGCATATCTCCATAGATTTTCATATTGCTTGTTTGCATCCTCTTCAATAATCTTTTTCGCAATCAATTTAGCTTTCCATGCCCTTGCCACAGTTATACCCACTGAATAGTTTTGCCTCATATCTTGAATAATGTCACAAATCCTCACTTTATCAGATGTTTGTATTTTCTTAACCACAACCTTGGCCACCCACTTAGAACTTGCAGATCTATTATTCAAAATCCTAGCACATGTGTGAGTGTCTTTTATAATCTTAATAGCATAAGTGTGCTTATGGCCCACCTTAGAACAAAGCATTAAAAACCCACATTTAGCCTTACATTCTACTCTCACCCTATACCTCTCATTTTTCACAAAAGTTATTTCCCTCCCATTTAAAACAATCCACTCACGAATGGCCTTACGAAAGTCATCTAGGGAATTAAACTCCATACCATACTTAATCTTGAAATTCTTATTAAGCTGCTCTTTCTTAAACCTCTCAAACTTAGGTCCTTTTGTCTTCTTCGAAGTTATCAGGATCAGAGCTATCTAACTCTTCACTAATATAATTGTCGTCTTCCCATTTACTCTTAGAAGAATAAATCAACAGATCAACTATGATTGGACCCTCCCTAATTGGTATAGTTACAACAATCCCATCAAACTCATCTGTAATAGCAGTTGTTCTCCCTTCCTCACTATCGTTTAACCCTTTAACTACCTTTTCATCACTAACATCCAACTCATAAATTTCATTCACACACCTTGGAGTGCTTCCACTTCCACTTGCATCGTGTTCCACAAACAATTCACCATCAACTTCCATCGAACAAGCATAAGCAGATAAATCATATACATCCTCATCATTTTTAATCTGGAAAAAGTTAGGATCTATATCTGTGATTTTTGTCCATAATCTATACTCTAAGAAACCCCACCCATTTACTATGTTACGCAGCTCAATCAATGTACTTTTTTCCATGTGTAACCCATACACTAGTGTAGAAACCTCACCTCTGTATATTGTCTCACCATCACTCAAATTCACGAACTCTTCTCCATGGTGAAAAACAATGTTAAACAACATTTTATTCTGAAATTAGAAACTGAATGTAAGATTAAACACAACAATGCATGTTAGATTCAAGTAATGGAGACGAAAATTCGAACTTACCTGAGACGAATGGACAAAATCTTCACAGTTCTCAGCCACTCAGCGATTTGTCTTCTCCAAGAGAAAGTTCCCAAATTTATGCCCTAAGCTATTCACGGGGGAAAGAGGAATACATATTTGTCTTTTATTGTATTTTTGATTTAATGTATTAGACAATAACCAATCAGCATATTCTCAATGCCACATAACCAGATATATGCTTGCCAGTCAACCAAACAGAAAATAGAGTCTCCACGTAACAGAATCTTTGTTTAATAAAGGTGGGAAAAGAAAGAAAAAAAACTTCAAAAGAAAATATCAAAACTCACCCGATCATATATTTAACCCAAAAAATAATGAAGAAATTACTTAATTTCACCATGTTATAACAATATATAAAACCCCAAATTCTCAAAAACAGGATTTTGCATTTGCGTTGCACACAAAATCCTTCTTCTTCTTCTTCCCGCCATTGCTCCCGATGCTTTCGACGCACTCTCCGGTAAAATTTCTTTCTCTCTTAATTCATTATTCATATCAAACTGTTCCTCTCTGCTTTTAATAACATGTTATGTTTTTTTGAATCTTATTTAGTTGAATTGAATGAGTTGATTGCATTGAAGTCGTTGTTGTTAATGAAGATGCAGGAATTTTTTTATTTTTGAGTAATTGTATTGCTTCCTTGCACAAAAACAAACCCACCAACTGTATGATAGTTTGCTTGTGAGAAGAAAGAGAATATATCTACAATTTTTCATGTGAAACATGGCAAACAGCAAATATGAGTATGTCAAGTGTTTTGAACTTGAGGATGAGGTGATGTTTCCGAATTTTATCCTTGTTTCAATCAATGCTTGTAAACTTTCCAAGCCTTATGATGTAAACGCCTTGAATTTGATGAACTCTTGTGCTGTTGCGGTGCTCCAAGAGTTTGCAGATGTAGTCCTTGCATATGGGTTTAGTGATGAGTATACCTTTGTTTTCAAAAAGAGCACCAAGTTTTATGAAAGGCGAGGTAGCAAAGTGTTATCAATTATTTCTTCTTTTTTCTCGTCTGTCTTTGTGAGAAAATGGCGCGAATTCTTCTCCCAGAAGGAAATATGTTCTCCTCCTTTCTTCCACGGGAAAGTTGTAGCTTGTGCATCCATAGACGCCCTTCAAGCTTATCTTTTATGGAGGCAGAATATCTGTCATTTGAAAAATCAATATGATCAATGCTTTTGGCGACTTGTGGAACGCGGAATGAATGAGAGGGAAGCACGAGAATTCATTGATGGAGCTAAGAAACGCGACTTGAATGATATTTTGTTTGATGAGTTCAATGTCAATTACAATACATTGGATCCAATATTTCGACAGGGTTCCTGTATTCTAAAGACAATGGTAGGGGCTGTGGTGAAGTACACAGAAACCGGTGCTCCAGTTAAAAGACAAAGGAGAGAGATAATCACAGTGCATTCCAAGAAAATAGCAAGCACGCGATTTTGGAATGAACATTCTATTCTTTTGAAGGAGCTTGGTGTTTTTGTGGAGGAGATTAATAATGTGAAACCGGAGTATGTGAGGTCCTTTGAGTTTGATAGCAAGTTGATGCCATCTACATGGATTGTGGTTCGGATAGATGGATGTCACTTCCATAGATTTTCTGAGATACATGAATTTGCGAAGCCTAATGATGATAGAGCTCTTAACTTGATGAATTCATGTGCGGTGGCTGTTTCAGAAGAATTTAGGCAGGATATAGTCTTTGCTTATGGGGTTAGCGACGAGTATAGTTTCATTCTTAAGAAATCCACTGATCTTTATGAAAGGAGAGCTAGTAAAATCATATCAGCCATTGTGTCTTTCTTCACATCCACTTACGTGATGCGATGGAAAGATTTCTTCCCTCAAAGAGAGCTAAGCTACCCTCCTTCTTTCGATGCACGAGCAGTGTGCTATCCTTCTACTGAGATTTTACGAGACTATCTTTCGTGGAGGCAAGTGGATTGTCACATAAACAATCAATATAACACTTGTTTTTGGAAGCTTGTTGCATCAGGAAAAAGCAAAAGGGAAGCTCAGCATAGTCTAAAGGGTGCTCAACTGCAAAAGAAAATTGAGGAATTGGCTATTGACTATAATAAATTGCCAGTGATGTTCCGACAAGGTTCCTCAGTTTTTTGGGATAGGGTAGACAATGTTCTCATCGATCAGGAGAGTGGAGAGTCTTCCGAAAATTATGGAAAGGTCTTTGTACAACACATTGACATCATTGGATCAACCTTTTGGCTAGAACACCCTGGTATCCTTGATGAAAAGCTATATGTGTCGAAGAAATGTTGAGTGTGATAATTAAAACTTCATTACTTTATTTTTGTTGCTGCTAATTTTATTTTATTTCAGTTTGGTTCAATATTCTTGTATTCATATTTGTATTTTCTTATTTAAGATAATGAAATTGAGAAGTATTTCATAGGTTTTATTATTGTGAGTGGAAATATTCATGCAAGCATTATATCCATTTACTTTCCCCTTCTTCATCTTCTTCCTGCCATGGCTCCTGATGCTTCTGATGCACTCCCAGGTCAAGTTTCTTTCTCTCTTAATCCACTATTCATATCAAATTGTTTCTCTCTGCTTTCTGCCATGAACTGATTATCATTTAGAATGAAGATAAATGCAGTTAATTTTTTAAAAGTAGAGTAGATAAACATGTCGATGTCTAGTGGAAGCTGCAAAGAAACATCATTGAGACATATGACTAACATTGAGGCATGGTGCAAGAAAAGTACCCCAAAAACAAAAGTTACAGAACAGGACTAAGTTCAAGAGTTAAACGAGAGATCAAGTTTACTTGTCTATCGGAATCTAGAAACGAGAGTGACAAAAACAGATAATCCTTTCAACTGAATACACATAATTGAATTAGACTTATATATTTCTTCAACATTTTCAATATTTTTGCAGCTATTTCGATTTTATATTACACCGTAAGTCTGTAACATATTTAATAAAACAAACACGCCCAATTGAGAAAAAGGTAAAGCTGTTGTATGTTTAATAAAACAAACACACCTCGGGGATATTTTGCTCTCGGGAAACAGCATCCTTGAGCCCGTTACTTTCTTTACCATTTACCAATCACCCTGCATATTGCACTTAATACTCAGTAAAAAGAATAAGAAATCCACTCTGTCAGGCAGCATGCAAACTGGTATCAGAAAGCATTAGCTATCCATTTTTGAGCTATAAGAATGAGTTTAGTATGGTCAAGAGAAATAGTGTTTTAGTATTGGCTTGGCAGAAGCATATAGACTTGAAGAGTTCATTCCTTGTTGAGGATGGAGTATATGCTGGCTGGCTTGTGCAGAGAGTTCAACAACCAGTAAGGCAGAAAGTTCAACATTTTCTCAACGCGCTCGCACGGGAAATCTCTATCTCTTAAAGAGTAAGTCAATTTATCAATGAATTTATTTGTATCTTCACATTCTTCTTGTTCTTCATTCATCTAATTGTATATTGGTTTGTTAGAATTTTCTGAACAGTTAGATGAAGGGAAGGATTTATTGAAGACTGTGGAAGCAATTAAAGATGCAAACAAGCGTGGAGCACTTCATTTTGCTGCTCTTGAAGGACAGACAGAGATTTGTAACTACCTTTTAGAGGATTTGAAGCTTCAAATTGATTAGAAAGATGACGATGGAGAAACTGCTCTCATTCACGCTGCATGGCAAGGACACGCTGCCAGCTAAGTATTTTATTGACCATGTGACTGATCCTACTATTGCTAGCATTTTAGGAGCTACGGCGTTGCATCATTCTGCTGGGATAGGTTTTTTTTCTTCCTGATTTTCTCTTAGCGTTTTTCATTATGTTCTGTGATAAAACAAATTTGCTTGCTCAATGTGCTCAATGGACCTGTTTGGTTTGGATTGACTGATTTGAGCTTAACTACCAGCACAGGCACTTGTGAGTCTGTTTGGAATAGCTTACAGAACAGGACTAAGTTCAAGAGTTAAATGAGAGATCAAGATTTTACTTGTGTAAATGAATCTATAGCCGTATAATGGCCGTTCCTTTTAAAAGCCTCATCCCCTCTTGCTTTTGATTCTGTTGCTCTCTTTTTGGCTTCTGGTGACACCTAGATAAGTTTGCACACAATTATAGTAGAAACCAATGTAAAGGGCAAAAGCTGATACACATTAGCTAAGAAGTTCTAAAATCATTTTTTTTTATAATAAGATTAAACAATTTGTCAACATGATAGTTACAATAAAATGAAAGAGTGATAATTGAGAAACAGAATCCTAAGAAGAAAGGGCTACTAAAGTCTTTTTTAAAAAAGCCAAAATACAAGGGAAAACAACAAAGCTGCTGCATAATCTCTGAAGCAATGCAGAATTTAGAAACGAGAGAGAATGACAAAAATAGACAATCCTTTCGATTGAATAGACATAATTGAATTAGACTTGCGTATTTCTTCAACATGTGCACTATTTTTGTAGCTATTTAGATTTTATAGTGTAGCTGTACGTCTGTAACATATTTAACAAAACAAACACGCCCAATTGAAAAGAAGGTAAAGCTGTTATATGTTAATAAAACAAACACACCTCAGGGATATTTTTCTCTCGGGAAACAGCATCCTTGAGCCCGTTACTTTCTTTACCATTTACCAATTCACCCTGTATATTGCACTTAATACTCAGTAAAAAGAATAAGAAATCCACTCTGTCAGGCAACATACAAACAAGCATCAGAAAGCATTAGCTATCCATTTTTGAGGTTTAAGAATGAGTATAATATGGTCAAGAGAAATAGACTTTTAGTATTAGCAGAAGCATATAGACTCGAAGAGTTCATTCATTGTTGGAGGATGGAGTATATGCTGTCTGGCTTGTGCAGAGAGTTCAACAACCATTAAAGCAGAAAGTTCAACATTTTCTCAACACGGCTCGTACCGGAAATCTCGATCTCTTAAATAGTAAGTCAATTAATCAATGAATTTATTTGTATCTTCACATTCTTCTTGTTATTCATTCATCTAATTGTATATTGGTTTGTTAGAGTTTGTGCAACAGTTAGATGAAGACTGTGGAAGCAATTAAAGCTGCAAAGAAGCGTGGAGCACTTCACTTTGCTGCTCTTGAAGGACAGACTGAGATTTGTTACTACCTTTTAGAGGATTTGAAGCTTCAAATTGATTCCAAAGATGATGATGTAGACACTGCTCTCATTCATGCTGCATGGAGAGGACACACTGCCACTGCTAAGTATTTTATTGACCATGGTGCTGATCCTACCATTGCTTGCATTTTTTTCCTGATTTTTGTCTTAGCTATGTTCTGTGATAAAACAAATTTGCTTGCTCAATGTGCTCGATGGACCTGTTTGGTTTGGATTGACTGGTTTGAGCTTAACTATCGGCATAGGCACCTGTGAGTCTGTTTGGAAGAGCTTAAATTTTTTTTTTATAGTATATCAATAGTTGTTTTTAGATTATTTCGATAAGCTCTCGAGGATATTGTATGAAAATAATTTTAGGTTATATGAACATATTGGATAAAAACATGGTTTTTGTTATAGAAACATCTTATACATAAGCACTTGCACGATATATTGAGTTGCTTGAGCATTTTCTGTCCAAAGGATTTAATCCTGACTTAGAGAGTGATGCGGGAACACCTTTGGGTTTGGGCTGCTGGTCATGCTCAACAAGCTGCTGTGACTATTCTATTAAGACATGGTGCAAATGTAATCATTCATTCCACTTTTTTTTTGTTGCTACTTGTGATGATGTTATAAAGTACACTTGAATTCTTTTCCTTCAGAAATTTGATCTTTTCGAGTATTTGGAATTTTATATCTATTTGATTTGATTGGATATGCAGAGCATCAATTGGTGTTAGTTCTTAGCATATTCTTTTCTATTTCTTGCTAAAATTGCTTTCTATTACCTTTACCATGTTTCAATAACCAATATGCTCTAGTTTCAGAAACGTTTATCACTCACATCAATAATCTACATAAGCTTTATTTATATGCCTTTTTGGTGTTGATATGCATTTGCTTGAAATGTTTACAAGAACTGATTAATTTATTCTTCTTGCCTGACTCATGACATTCTAATCAGACAATGTCCTAGAGCTTGTTTATTTGGCACTCTAGAAAACGTTTCTCATTATACGGCCATAGATTCCTATACACAAGTAAAATCTTGATCTCTCATTTAACTCTTGAACTTAGTCCTATCCTGTAAAATTTGTGTGTGAAGTACTTTTCATGCACCATGCGCCGTGTTAGTTATATGTCTCAATGATGTTTCTTTGCAGCGTCTACTCGATATCCACACGGATTCTATTATTTTCCTTTTGAATGTTTTTTTACAGGCAATTGATCTGAACCCGGTGATGCTACATTGCTATGTTGGATGAGAGTAGGTCAAGCCGAGCATGCTTTAGCTGATGCAAAGGCCTGTAGAGCATTAATACCAGAATTGTCAAAAGCTTGTTATAGGGAAGGTGCAGCCTTGCGATTGTTGCAGGCATGCAGACCACAAACCTTTGCCCTTTGACAATAGCTAAGAACACGCGTTTGTTGCAGAGGTTTGAAGAAGCTGCAAATGCATTTTATGAGGGAGTAACGATTGATCCTGAGAAGGTTGTTGCTTATTTAACATCTTTGAAAATTGTGGCATTGGCGCATTGTGAAAATGGCAATGCAAGCAATTGTGTGTTGTCAAGGCTAAGGTTAATATGAAAAGCCATTATAGGTGGTTCATAGTAGATTATTTATTAGTTTGTAAAGTTATTTGAATGGTCCGATTTTATTGTTCCAGAAGACCTTATTCAGTATAGAACAATCAACAAGATTTAATTGGTTCTGTTTTTTTTTTACAATTCAGTTTACTTATATATATTTTACACACCTCTAGCTCAACTTACACCCACTACCAATTTGGTACTTCCCATACTCCAAGATATGTTTGGTGCCATTACAAAGACTTTAGGGTTTGTTAGGGGGAGAGTGCATGATTTGTTTTTATTTTCTAAATTAAAGAACTTGAAATGTTTTAAAAAAAAAGTGTGATTGAATTGTTCTATGATTATATATTATAGTATTATTTCAATTTTTCTTTTAAATTTCAAATATATTAAAATACTAATTTAGAGTCTATCTAAATTAGTGAGTTCCGTCGATATTTGTAAAAATAAAGTGTTAAAAATATTTGTATATAGAATAGTCTCATAGCAAATATATCATGTAATTAAAAAAACTCTCTCTCTCTCTCTCATACAATTTTGACAGTGTTTTTCAAAACACACGATTTATTCAAATATCTTTTACTTTTTCGCATTCTAACATGGTATCCAGAATCTACTGAGAGACACCCTTCACCGTGTTTTATCTGGTTGACCCATTGTCTTTCGGTGATAAAATTTTGTTTGTCTTTCATACACTGTCATGACTCATTCCGGCATCAGTTTTCGAATTTCTCTAGTCACCACCAGACTGTCGTCGTTACTACTGTTTACGATGACCTTATGGCAAACCAACATGTTTCCGCCCACACGTGCCACCTCCATCTCTGTGCGTGGGTCTCACATGTCGCCGCATGAACCACGTGTGATAACGCGTCAGACGACCAATCTCGACGAGTTTTCCACCGACCCACTCGTTTTCCTGTCCTTGTTCTAGATTCGACCTCAAATTTTATTTTCCACTCACGGAAAACTGTGATGCAGTTGAAACAAAGTCTTTTTCACCCGGTTCGTGTGATATTTTCTTTCTTCAGATACTCATGGCTAGTCCTTAAAAATTTACGTCAAACTACGATGCTTTTCTCAAGTGGTATCAGAATTATCCGAACTCAGATTCTACTTCTTCGGTTGCACATACTCGTAATATTTTCCTCTCCCAATCATCTTCTCTTGGACCTCGGATCCTTGATTCGGGTGCATCTGATCATGTTATCAGTAATAAAAATACCCCCCCCCCTCTCTCTCTAACGCTAGTTTCTTACCTACTATAACTTCTGCCAGTAATTCTCAAACCCAATTCGAAGAGATTGACACTATTCAAATTATACCTTCTCTCTGTCACTTCTGTTCTCTATGTATCTAATTGTCAATTTAATTTACTTTTAGTCATTCATTTAACTCTTTTTCTTAATTGTATTCTCACCTTCATTAACAATAATGTTACTTTACAGAATCGGAGTCCGAGACAGACAATTGGTGTCAGATGTGAGTCTCGAGATCTTTATTACCTCTCACTGTCATCTCGGACATGCTCAACCAAAGATTCTCCACTCACTATCCATGCTCAATTACGTCACCCCAGACATCCCAAACTACAGAAGTAGGTGCCAAGTTTATCAAAGGTATCTAAGTTACATTGTAAGTCGTGTCAGTTAGGAAAACACACTCGTAGTCAATTTCCTAATTGAGTCAATAAACGAACTTTATTCCTTTTTGTTTTAATTCATCAGATGTTTAGGGTCCCTCGCGTACTGTCTCTACTCTTAAGTCTCGGTATTTTATCATATTTATTAATGATTTTTAACGTTGCACATGGTTATTTTTAATGAAAAATAGATTTGAATTATTTTTTATTTTTGAATAATATTATAAAGAAATTAAAAAAACCAGTTTGGTGTGTTAATTCATACATTAAAAATGATAATGCTCGTGAATACTTATTTCGACAATTTCAACCTTTTATTTCCAACAATAGTATACTCTACCAAACATCTTGCCCTCAAACACCCCAACAAAATGGGAGTAACCGAAGCAAAAATCTGTATCTCATGGGAATCACTCGGACCCTACCTCTCTATGATAATATTCCACTTCGATTTTGGGGGATGTTGTGCTAACGACATGTTACCTTATAAATTGCATGCCCTAATCCGTCCTTAACAATAAAATCTCTCATTCAATCTCTTTTCCCAATTCCTCACTTCACCCAATTCCTCCCCGAGTCTTCGGGTCCACATGTTTTATACATAATCTCTCTCATGATCTTGATAAACTATCAGCTCGATCACTAAAGTGCGTCTTTCTTGGTTATCATTGATCACAAAAATGTTATCACAGATATTCACATATTCTACAATGACACCTCATATTGCCCAATGTTAGCTTCTTTGAGTCTATTCCATATTTCGAGTCCAGCCACGTAACTCCTGAACCCCTTTAAGAAAGTACTCCCACACCTTTTCTGGTAGTTATTAATATCTCGTCTACCATTATTCCCCACCAGTTTATGTTCTTTCAACCCACTTCTCAACTACTTTAAACATATCAGTGTCATCACTAACGCCCGTCGTCCTTGTCCCCGAGGTCATTGCAGACTCTCCTCCTATGCCCCCGCCATCACCAGATCCGATCCCGCTACTTGAGTCCCATCTACTAATTTCCCTTTGAAAAGGTATACGTCAAACACATAATTCTTCTCCACATTATATTAATTTTTGTTATCATTATTTTTTCCCTTTGCATTATACTTGCTTGTCTTCTTTGTCGTATGTTTCTATTCCTAAAACTCCAAGTGAAGTGTTATCTCACCCTGAGTGAAGGAAATGAATGATTGATGAGATGTGTGCTCTTCAAAGCAGCGGTACTTGGGAATTGGTTCCTCTCCCCCTGGAAAATCTTTGGTAGGTTGTCGTTGGCTTTATACAGTGAAGGTTGGACCAGATGTAGATTGATCGATTCAAATCTCTCTTGGTATTCAAAGATACACTTAGATTTTTGGGTTGGACTATAGCAATACTTTCTTGCATGTGACCAAGATGGCATCAATTCAACTTCTTCTCGCCATTGTAGCCATTAGACATTGTCCTATTCATCAACTTGGCATCAAAAATGCATTTTTACATTGTGATCTTAAATAGGAAGTATATATGAAGCAACCATCTGGATTTATTGCTCGGGAGAGTCATCGAGTATGGTTTGTAGGCTATATATGTCTCTTTTGTAGTTAATCTATTAATGCATTTTTGACTTTTTAGATCATTATGTGAAGCATTCTTTTCTTTATTACTATGTGTAGCGACAACAAAATCGGGGTACGACCAAAGATGTCAATTCCCTGCACACATAAAGTTAGGGGTACTATCAGAGACACTTTGTACGTCCGATTAAAGCAATCAACCCCCCACATAAAGTCAGGGGTGCTGTTGGAGACGCTTTATACGTCTGAATAAACCATTCAATCCCTCCCAGATAAAGTCAAGAATGTTTTCAAAGGCGCTTTGTACGTCTGAATAAAGCAATTAATCTTCCACATAAAGTCAAGGGTGTTGTTAGAGACGCTTTGTACCTTTGACTAAAGAAATAAATCCTCTACATAAATGCATGGGTGCTCTCGGAGACGCTTTGTACGTCCAGTTAAAACAATCAATACCCCACTTAAAGTTAAAAGTGATGTTAGAGACATTTTGTATGTCCTAATAAAGCAATCAAATCCCCATATAAAGGCATGGATGTTCTTGGAGACACTTTGTACATCTGACTATAACAATCAATTCCCCACATGCAATAACGATCCACTCCCGTCTGGTATCTAACCTATTTAGATGTCATGGTGGGTTGGCCAGACGTCTACCTCTGACCGGGTTTTCACCTGGTTGGGGAAGGAGAACTGGCCTTTGGTCAGGAACTGCCCCAATGACCTCTAATTATGATAATCGTCAAAGAGGGATAACAACTATACCAGAAACATTGGGTAAGGTTGATATTTTCTCAATAGCAGCATCGTTCCTAACCAATCGTATTCCACGCTTTAAAAGTTGAAATATCTCTTCATTACCCACGAATTCAACGTACTATTACAAATAAAACATATATATTAGAGACATGCAGACTAAACATATCATAAATTCTAAAAGACCCAAAATTTATCAAAGATGGTTTTTCTCTTCTCTAGAGAGCGTGCTTTTATTAAAAACTGATAATAAGGCACTTCAAATATCTCTTATCAACTTCCTCCACCAAAATTCCTCCCCCAATGTATCACAAATTGATAATAAATTATATTAACTGACCCTTTTGATACCGAACCTAATCGAGGAGATCCATTTCATCATAAGCCCTCACTCAAATACTTAGAGAACAAATGAATACATAAGCCCTCCACTCTAGCACCAATGTTGCAAACTAATAATATAACATATTAAAATGGTTATATAAAATACAAATGAAATAAATTAAAAATATATTTTGGTAATTGCACCTCTAGAATCAATTTTGATAAAAGAAATCAAAACAACATAAATTATAAATAATTCACTCTCAATGTTTTCTTACAAGACCAAAGATACACTAAAATCGAGAGCAATAAATAACAAAGAAGAGAAAACAGCGAAGGAGGTGTGATATGATCAATGGCAGGTTCGGAAGGATTCGTTGAAGCTGATAATGCAGAAGCGATTATCACCAGAATTGAACACAAAACTCTCAAGATCGAAACCTTACTCAAACAGTAACTAACTTCATCTTTCTCTCCTTTTCTTCTCTTTTACCAATCAAATACTCTAATTTTATGCAATTTTAGGTTTAAACCCGTCGAAGCTCTTAAAACCGCTCTTGAAGGAACCTATGCCATGACTAGTGATGAACGTTGCAAGGTTTTTTTATTTTTTTTTATTTTTACCCCTTTTATCTATTTTTGCGTTTTATGAATAAAAATTGATACTTTATTACTATTTTGTGATTTTACTTGATTTTGGTTATTATAGTTTTGTTGCAATTGAAGATTTCAAATATGTTGAATTTGCAGTATGTTTTTCATGTTTTTTTGGCAGTCGGCACATTGGATTGTTGTGCATAGAGCAATAATGGCTATAAAAGATGTGGATGGGATGCTTTCTTCCTTGGATCCTGAATACTATGACATCCTAATGAAGTGAGTAGTACTGATATGCATTGTGCTATTTGAGTTTTCAATTGGAAAGAAAATGTTTAAGCAGTTAAAGTAGGCTTATTAAAATGAAAAACTGTTAGTCTTGCTTTTTCCATTTCATGCCTCAATTGAGGGATTCAAAAAGGGCATTGATCTCTACAAAAATTAGTATACCCCCTATGATAGAACCCAATTGAGGAGCCAAGGCCCAAATGGTGAAATTGCCTATCAACGGAAAAGGTTTTGCAAAGGAGGTGACCTTAGATATAGTGAATTCTTCAAATGAGCTTATTCTTTTCATAGCTCGAACTTTGATTGATGACGAATTAGCTCCTTTGCTTGTGGAATATAGTATTTGTAGGCTGCCACCCCAATGCAGTAGAGGGAAAACTGTTGAGACTCGATTATCTGAAGCTGGATCGTCAAGTTACCGTCAATGGGATACCGGGGGCAAGGATTGTGCTTTCAACCACTATTCCACAAGGAAAGTTGAAGAGAAAGCAGTAGAAGAAGCAACGTGGAAAAGTTACCAAGGAAGAGAAAGCAGTAGAAGAAGCAACATGGAAAGGGGGATTTAAATCTTCTAACCCAATTCCGAAGTTTAGACAAGTCGGATTTTCAAGGAGCGGGTATTGATAGAACCCGATTGAGGAATGAAAGCCCAAATGCTACTGCATATCAACAGAAGAGGCCCACAGTATGTAAATAATGATGATGGAATTATTTCTGTTATATTTTTCAATGTTGGAGCTTTGGCTCTGGGAGTAGTTAGAGAAACTCTCTTCTACTATTATACATTCTCAATGAATAATAATACATATTTTCTATCAATTTCTCCTTTTCATCCATACTTCTCTCGACGATAAATTTGCTGTTTGCGATCCTCCAGCTACATTGGTTTCTATCTTCCTGTGTGACAAATTGATCTCTTTTAGCTTGCTATACATCAGATATCTCATCCTCAGCAGCAAATCTGTCCAAGGCATCCAATTTGCAATACAAATCTCACACATTATCAAAAACAAAACCTCCTTGTAGGGTAAAACCATACTTATTCACTCATTCAAGTCCTATTAGTTAAACCATTCACTCAGTCAGTTTCCTATCTATAGATTAAATGACTCAGTAGTAGTATTATTTTGTGAACTGTTTGTTGAACTCTCCAGGTTGCGAATATCATGATTCTTATTCTGTGAACTGTTTGTTGAACTCTCCAGGTCGTGAATATCATGATTCTTAATTGCTTCCCATTTATGCTTAGTTCTCAAATTTGGTTGCTTAAAAAATCAATTGCTTTATTCATTATATATGGTGATATAGTAGATAGTTTATGGTTACTATTGTAGATAATCTATGATATTTGCTTATTTCCACCTCTGTTTTCTGTCCATAGGTATTTATATAGAGGCTTATCTACTGGAGATCGTCCAACATGTGACCAATGTCTTCGAATTCATGAAAAATTGACAGAGAGAGCAGGCCATGGTTGCATTCTACGTTTCTTGACTGATACCGTAAACACAGTTTGATTTTCTTACCAATTTTTTATTCTCTTGCTTTTGATGTTGAGTTACCTTGCATGTGTTTGCATGACTACAACAATCAATGTACTGGTTTGGTTTCCCGCCCGGGGTGCAAACCTTAAGAATGGTTTTATATATGTCAAAATTTTAGTAAAAACACAAGTTTGGTAAAATATTCTTACATGTTTAGATTGATAGTGAGTTTGACACAATCACGGTGAATCGTCGTGATTTTGACAAAAAGTTTTGTTTCTCATGATCAAATCAAAGACGGCATGCCAATATTAAATCCGACAATTTGGTCTGGTGATAAAAATACATATTTTGAATTTTCAAACCTCACTAGTGTCTTTCAAAAAAGTATATGTAAATCTTTTTTAGTATTTTTGTAAACTATAAGGTCTTCTTTGACTTGTACTAGGACACTATTTTCACACAATTTACAATTTATTTGATTAATTATGTTTAAAATGTTTATAAAGAAAACATATAAATACCAAATTTAAATAGTTGTAAGACAAATGAGACATAAAAAGATAAAATAGGCCAATGTTGTCAAATACAAAATAAAGATATGGGCATGGACCATGCTAACTAGCAACTATTACTAATGTTATCCAGTATAGTTCTGCAACACATTCAAAGTAATTCTCATCTCTGCAACACTTATTTTATTTTAATTTTATTTTTGTATTGATTTTTAGCCGCTTAACATAAAGTCATGTGCAATATTATAGGTTTTATTGATATTTGGTATAATTTTCTTTTTAACTTGAACGATACTCTTATGTCACATAAAATCTCTGAGACCCTCCTTTATTTTAGCCACTCAACTTGAATTCAATGGTTTACACTCTCTTTTATTTTTTCATAATTTTATATTATGGATTTAAGATATTTAAATTGCGTGACTTGTGGGATGATATGGTCTCATACTTTTGTCTCTAGGTTAGAAACACTTCTTTTTTTTAAAACTTATATTATATATACTTTGTCTTACTTCTTAGGCAAAAACCATGTGTTTCAATCTTCATTTGACTCTTCAAGTAAGATTATATCATCTGCAAAAAGAATACATTTTGGTGCAAAAGGTAAAAAGGTAAGGGCTTAAGGTTGAACTTTGGTGCAATCCTATTGTAATTGAGAAATTATCTGTATCTTTTCCTTCGGTCCGCAAATACTCATTTCATACAAATTTAGATAGCTCGTGTTCTGGACTGGGCCGGGCTGGCACAAAAGCAATGGTGAAGGCCCAATCCAAACGGTCCTGCAAGGAATCACGCCGACCAAGGGCCGCAGCCGTGCCCGACATTCTATGCCAATGCGACATCCTCGACTTCATGCTGACCTGCTCGACCTCAGCTCGAGCACTCCTCCTAGGACAGACTCTGTCCACTACACCATCACCTGGATCCCGAAAAGACCGCGTCCTCGTCCGTCCGTACTTCACGCAGAACATCCAGGAAGGGGACCACGTGCGGGTCCCCACTACACACGTAGAACCTGGCAGTTCCTCCATTGGGCCAAACCTGCCCGACCCAATGAAGGAACCTTGGCCCAGCGCTGAGGGCTATAAATACCCTATGTTCCTAGAGGGTCAGTGTGATCGGTGGATCTGGAACTGACTGTTTTAAAGCTGGTTCGCGAAATGTCGCGGAAGCAAGAGTCGCCACCGTCTTTTATTTTCTCCAAATGGAAAGGACAAAAGCACAGAAAAATTCCTTAAAGAGATTGCTCTCGGTTCGGGAGGTAGGTTATAGAAAGGGAAGGTGTTAGCACCCTTTCTATCCATGGTTATCCATGGGCTCTTAGATACTTGCTCATTGTGTTTTCAAAAATGTTTGTTTGCTTTTCAATGTGGGTTAACAAAGTTTCTTTGAAAAATTTCAGTTCGACTCGTACGTCAGAGTGTTTGAAAAATTTGCTTTGAAAGCTTTTGAAAAGTGTTGGTGTGAAAAGTCTTTGAATTTTTGTTTTGAAGAGAGCAAGTATCCATGAGTCGTCTACCTACCCTAAGGAATTCGTCTGTGTAAATGTCCTTTAAAGTAGTGCCATCCCACCATTGAGAGGTAGGTAGCACCACCGTTGGAGGTATTCGGGTCAATTCGAGTTTGTAGGGACGTGGTGATCACCGGAGTAATGGGAAGACACCTTAGAAGCTACCCTCATGCCAGGTTCCCGGATCATGAGGACTTACTAAGACATCCTCTACTCGACGATCACCTTTCGAGGCAAGGCAACAGTGAGGCGTACCCTAGAGGTGGTGTGTGCGAATTGTGTGTCATTTTTATTGGTATTTGTCTTGTCATGTTCATTGTGATCTACGCTTGATTTTATTTAAGTCCATACATTCTTTCATGCTTTTGTTAACAGTTAAAAAATATTTGCGGGAAAAGTAAATCTAACGCTATTACAAATGGCGCGGGTCCACATCGCCAAAATTAAACCGGACCCGATTTGACGGAAAGTAAATAAAGCAAAAGAAATAAAAAGTGCGAGAAGTTAAATGTTAAAAGGCTTTGGGAGAGATACATAATTATTTAAATGACATAAAATAAATATGCGCAATAAAATAAATTACGAACGAGGGCGTTGGACCCTTTTGCAAAAAAAAGAAAATTGAAGTTAATGAATTTAATTAACAAAAAAGATTAAATTAATGAGGAATTAAAATTAAAGGAAATTGTTTTTTGGTGTTTTGTGTTTTTTAAGATTTAATGGAAAAAGAATTATTTAAAATTAAAATAAGATGTAAACCCTAATTCTAATGTTTTTTTAGATTTATTATGAAAAATATTAAATTAAGATCTAAATGAAACCTAAGTTAATTTACATGCATTTTTAATTATGAAAATAAAATGAGTAATATTATTATAAAAAAAGGAAAAATTAAAAGGAAAAAATTATCAATTAAACCTAAATTCTATGTTTTTGGATTTTTAGTTATTAAAAAGAATTAACATTAAAACCTATTTAATACTAAATTTATTTACATGCTAATTTATTTACAAGAAAAATATTAAAATAAAAATTATTTATTATATTTTGTCTTTTCTGATTTTTAAGCCTTTTTTGTATTTTGTAAAATAATTAATCAAATTAAAAATAATAAAGAAAATAAGATAACAATTAAAAAAATAAGAAAGACAAAAAAATAGGAAATTGCAAACCAATGGGGGGTTCAGTCCCAATTATGAGGCGTGATCCAAGAAGCTGGCCCAATAAGCTTGCAATTCGTTGACCTTTCCATGCATTATGTGGCTTGTTGACTGGGGGTGCAGCGTGTTCGTTGAATCCTGGCCTTTGATTTGAATGTGCTAGACGCGTGGATGGTTTGATATGATGAGCGTATGGTGATCCTCAATGTTGTGCCTGCATAGGAACTAATATGGAAAAATAATATTGAAAGTTACACAGACCTGGGACTCGAACCCAGGTCTTGGACGTTATTGCCTTCAACGTTTGCCAGCTGAGCTATGAAACATATGTTAACATATTATAATAAACAAATAACAAAAAGAAAAACGAAAGCATTAGTGGTTGGATCGCGCGAAATTTAAAAACAACGAATCATGCTTTGCCACGAGGTCTTCTTCCTCGTTTCCCCTGAAACTAAAAACATTGAGCCACGGTTTTCAGAGCGTGGTCTTAGAGGGCTTTAGGGAAAATAGCGAATAGCGCTACAGGGCTTATAAATTGTTCGCGACAAGTGTTCCTTCTTCGTCTCTCTGCACTGAGTTGGATGGTCATGGTTTGGAGGCTTAATTTTACCTCGTTACCAAAGCCCTAAATTGACAAACCTGTAAACCCTAGAAATCGCGCACGGCAAAATCTCATACATAGCATGATAATCAAATTAAACGTAATGGTTAGCTTTAAAACATCACAAGGAACAAGAATCCATAATTAGAATGTCATGAGAATGCCTAGAATTGAAAATACGATTGTCACTTTTTTGCTGTACAGGGAGGGTTCTATATACCAATTCTTGGAGTTTAAGTTGATGTTTTGGATTGCAATGTGATCAGGAGGACTTGAGAAAGCTATTGGAAAAACTTTTATGCCTTGAATCACCCTCCAACAATGAATTCAGTTTTGAGTTTTATGGCAATTTTTCAAGTTTGCAAATTGGTCTCTAGCGCGGCATTCAGTGTCCTGTGATTAGGGTTAGACTCAGTACTTATGAGGGAAGGGAATTAAGTCATTAGTTGGCCTTGATCCATGCCCATGAGAGAACTAGTCCTAGGTTTTTCACCATTAACAAACTTTCCCTTTTTTTAAGCAAAACCAAGACTTGGTGTACAACCTAACCCTAGCATGAGTTTGTGAGCTGGCACATGATATATGGAAGCTATTCAAATTCAAATGACACTATTCCATTGATTTTTAAATTTTATTTGAATTATTAAAAATTTAAAATGAATTAAATTAATAAAAATTAAATAAAATAGAAAAATCAATGTTTGATCTTGAAATTAATCATGGGACACGTGTGTGGCATGACAAGGCTGAATTAAGTGGAAGAAAGTGGGCCCTTTTGTCAAAAATTGAAGTTTCAAGGATAGTTGACTTTTGCCATTTCACAAAAATTTCCCAACTTCTCCAATGCATAACTTGCTCAATTTTTAAGCTTTTCTCATGTTCTTGGACATTTTGGAAAGGTCTTTGAGTCCTTTAACCAATGCCTTTGGTCCCATGTCATTTTGATTTTCCAATCTCAAGTTATGGCCTTTGACTTAAAGTCCCTTTTTGTTGACTTTTGAAAATGACCTATAATGTTGAAATTGATAACTTTTTGTGAGAGCATTTCTTGGACTTGAAGTATGAAGATGAGTTGTAGGAAATGTCTTTCTCTTCAAAATGAGCTTTGGATGGAATTTTTCTGATAATCCATGTGAAAGTTATGCCCTGGTCAATTTCAGTTGACTTTTTCAGCTGTCCAAATAAGGAAACTTTTGCATCTTTGGTGATTTCTGAGCCAAATTTTGAGAATCATGATCAAGCAT